GAGGATGCTCCTGGGATGGAGACGCTCCAGGGATGAGGATGCTCCAGGGATGAGGATGCTCCTGGGATGAGGATGCTCCTGGGATGAGGATGTTCCTGGGATGGAGACGCTCCTGGGATGGAGACGCTCCTGGGATGAGGATGCTCCTGGGATGAGGATGTTCCTGGGATGAGGATGCTCCTGGGGTCGGGATGGGGATGGTCCTCGAACGAGGCTGGCCCCAGGATGGGGCCGGTCCTGCAGTGAGGACACTCCTGGGATAGGGATTCTCCTGGGATGAAGGAATCCCGGGGTTTTGGGGGCTGCCCCATTGCAGAGGAGCTGCGCAGATCCCGGGAAATCCCTGCCGGGAGTCGGGGGGATGTTCCGGGAGGATCCGGGGCTGCGGCAGCGAGGAGTGACGGTGTGGAAATGGCCCCGAGGCTGCTCCTGGGGGCCGGAGGATGAGCAAAACAAATCCCGCGGCACTGCAGCGCTGCGGGAGGGACAGAGCCCGCCCTGGAGCGGGGATCCGGCCTGAAATCGGCAACACAATTCCCCTGCGACCGGGGAAGAAGCAGCTCCGACCCCCGGCCGTTCAACAGGGTTTTATCCCGCGGGGACAAATTCCCAGCGTGGAACTTGGGGCGTGGGAATGCCGTGGGCAGAGTGGGACGGGCTCAGAGGCACCCCGTGCTGGGATGGGAGGGATGCTCCCACTCTTCGCTTCCAAAAAACCCTGGGAAAAGTGGGAAATGTCGCTGCTGAGCCGTGGGATCCCGGAGGGAGCCCCTGGCTGTGGCAGCCCAGGTGGCCCTGAAGGTGTCACCGGCACGGCCAAGGTCACCAGGAGCGGCCAGGACCGCCAGTGCCTGCAGCCATCCCTTCCAGACAGGCAGAGAAAATCCCTGTTCCCGGAGGAAAACTCGGCTGCTCGGAGCACCAGGAGCCCCGTGACTGCAGGAGCTGCTGGAGGTGACACGTGGGGCCTTCCCTCCGTGTCCCTGAGGCTGCTTGGGCTGTGCTGCTGTGGGGGAACAGCTGCTGCTGCCCCAAAAACAGCCCGAGGGGCCAGGCACAGCCGTGGGCTGGGAGGGTGGCACAGGCTATCCCAGAGAAATCCCTGTGCCTGCCCCTGGATCCCTGGAAGTGTCCAAGACCAGGCTTGGAGCAGCCTGGGATGGTGGGAGGTGTCCCTGCCCACCCAAACAGGGTGATTTTTACCCAAACTGGATGAGTTTTAAGGTCCTTTCCCAGCCAAACCATTCCATGATTTTCTGATGCTGTAGCTCCACGATCCGTGAGGATGTGAAGCTCAGGACCGCGCTCGGCTCGGTGGCTTGGGACATCCCGGCTTGCCCAAGGTGTTGTTTCCCACCCTCATCCTTCCTCCATCCCACCTGGGCCACGGAGGCTCGGGAAGGGGTGGGAATGTCGGGAAAAAGGAGCTGCAGCTCCCCATGGCTGCGCCCACCACCCCAAACATTCCAGGCCCGGCACATCCCAGCTCCAGCGGCTCCGCAGCCTCCTCCAGCAGCAGCATCCGAGGCCAAATAAATCCCCATTGATTTTATCGAGCTGGCTGTGCCACCCTCCCGCAGGTTTGCTGCCAGTGCTCACCTTTAATGTGTTTGGAGCTCGGCAATTCATTAAAATAAATCCTCCAAGCGGGCAGAGCTGGGGCTGGGCACCGTGCCACCGCCACCCCGATTCGGAAATCCGAGTTTTCCTGCCCCAAACCCCCTCTGGAGCTGCTGCTGCTGGTTCAAGCTGGTCCTGTCCCTGCTCCAAATCCAGATTCCTGTCCCTGTGGATGGGGAAGGATCAGAGATTCCTGTCCTATGGATGGGGAAGGATCAGAGATTCCTGTCCCATGGATGGGGAAGGATCAGAGATGCCTGTCCAAGGATCAGAGATTCCTGTCCCTATGGATGGGGAAGGATCAGAGATTCCTGTCCAAGGATCAGAGATTCCTGTTCCTGTGCTTGGGGAAGGATCAGAGATTCCTGTCCCTGTGGATGGGGAAGGATCAGAGATTCCTGTCCAAGGATCAGAGATTCCTGTTCCTGTGCTTGGGGAAGGATCAGAGATTCCTGTTCCCATGGATGGGGAAGGATCAGAGATTCCTGTCCCTGTGGTTGGGGAAGGATCAGAGTGAACTCTTTGCTGCCAGGTGCTGGAGATGGATTTGAGGTGTCCCCCTGGGAAGAACAGCCTGCCTGCTGTCACTTCCATCCCTGAATTCCAGCAGATCCATGGCTCTGGATCTCCATCCCTGGCTCCTGCTGCTCTGCTGGGGAGAGGGATGGGAAGGAAGGAAGGAACAAGTCCTGGCAAGGAGCAGAGCTGGGGTGTGACAGCTCTGCTCAGGAATCCCTCGGTGGCGGCGACTTCTGCAGGAGTGATGAAATCCATCCAAAACCCTGCATCCAAAACTGACACTTTTCCTGAGCCAAGGTTTTTCCCTGGATTTCTGTTTTCCCTGGCTCTCTGTTTTCCCTGGATTTCTGTTTTCCCTGGCTCTGTTTCCCCCGGATTTCTGTTTTCCCTGGCTCTCTCTTCTCCCTGGATCTCTCTCTTTTCCCTGGATCTCTCTTTTCCCTGGCTCTCTCTTTTCCCTGGATCTCTCTCTTTTCCCTGGATCTCTCTTTTCCCTGGCTCTCTCTTTTCCCTGGATCTCTTTCCCCTGGCTCTCTCTTTTCCCCAGATCTCTCTTTTCCCTGAATCTCTCTTTTCCCCGGATCTCTCTTTTCCTGATCTTACATTTTTACATATTTTTATTTTGGATTTGGATTTTTTTAATGGGAGTTTGGGCATGGAAGGGGCTCGCCAGGGAATCATTCCCAGGGAATGGCTCTTCCCGAGCTCCCCAAATCCCCAGGGACACAGAGCGGCATTCCAGGCTGGAATTTATTCCCTGGAGTTTGTGCCAGGCACGGCAGAGCAGCGATCTTTGGCATTCCCAAATCCCAGTGTGGGATGTTCAGCATTCCCAAATCCCAGTGTGGGACGTTCAGCATTCCCAAATCCCAGTGTGGGATGTTAATCATTCCCAAATCCCAGTGTGGAATGTTAATCATTCCCAAATCCCGGTGTGGGACGTTCAGCATTCCCAAATCCCAGTGTGGGACGTTCAGCATTCCCAAATCCCAGTGTGGGACGTTCAGCATTCCCAAATCCCAGTGTGGGACGTTCAGCATTCCCAAATCCCAGTGTGGGACGTTCAGCATTCCCAGATCCTGGTGTGGGACGTTCAGCATTCCCAGGATCCGAGGATGGAATTCTCACCTTCCCGGGATCCACACAGTTCATCCCAGCAGGGACAGGCTCCTGGGAGTGCAGGCTGC